GAGAGAAGAGAGGTGAAACCCCAACAATATATATATATATATATATATATATATATATATATATATATATATATATATATATATATATATATATATATATATATATATCGTTCCATATATATATATCGTACCTAGTAGCCAGAACGCACTTTTTGGCCTACTATGCAAGACCTGATTTGCCTACTAAGCCAAGTTTTCCTGAATTAATATATTTTCTCTAATTTTTTTCTTATGAAATGATAAAGCTACCCATTTCATTATGTATGAGGTCATTTTTTTTTTATTGGAGTTAAAATTAACGTAGATATATGACCGAACCTAACCAACCATACCTAACCTAACCTAACCTATCTTTATAGGTTAGGTTGGTTAGGTTAGGTTAGGTAGCCGAAAAAGTTAGGTTAGGTAGTCGAAAAAACATTAATTCATGAAAACTTGGCTTATTAGGCAAATCGGGCCTTGCATAGTAGGCTGAGAAGTGCGTTCTGGCTACTAGGTACGACATATATATATATATATATATATATATATATATATATATATACGACATATATATATATATATATATATGTCGTACCTAGTAGCCAGAACGCACTTGTCAGCCTACTATGCAAGGCTCGATTTGCCTAATAAGCCAAGTTTTCATGAATTAATTGTTTTTCGACTACCTAACCTACCTAACCTAACCTAACCTAACTTTTTCGGCTACCTAACCTAACCTAACCTATAAAGATAGGTTAGGTTAGGTTAGGTAGGGTTGGTTAGGTTCGGTCATATATCTACGTTAATTTTAACTCCAATAAAAAAAAATTGACCTCATACATAATGAAATGGATAGCTTTATCATTTCATAAGAAAAAAATTAGAGAAAATATATAAATTCATGAAAACTTGGCTTATTAGGCAAATCGAGCCTTGCATAGTAGGCTGAGAAGTGCGTTCTGGCTATTAGGTACGACATATATATATATATATATATATATATATATATATATATATATATATATATATATATATATATATATATATATATATATATATATATATATACCTAGTATATATATATATATATATATAATATAGTCGTACGTACCTAGTAGCCAGAACGCACTTCTCAGCCAACTATACCTTGAGGTTACCTTGAGGTGCTTCCGGGGCTTAGCGTCCCCGCGGCCCGGTCGTCGACCAGGCCTCCTGGTTGCTGGACTGATCAACCAGGATATAATCATATTTTCTCTATTTTTTTTCTTATGAAATGATAAAGCTACCCATTTCATTATGTATGAGGTCAATTTTTTTTTATTGGAGTTAAAATTAACGTAGGTATATGACCGAACCTAACCAACCATACCTAACCTAACCTAACCTATCTTTATAGGTTAGGTTAGGTTAGGTAGCCGAAAAAGTTAGGTTAGGTTAGGTTAGGTTAGGTAGTCGAAAAAACATTAATTCATGAAAACTTGGCTTATTAGGCAAATCGGGCCTTGCATAGTAGGCTGAGAAGTGCGTTCTGGCTACTAGGTTACGACATATATATATATATATATATATATATATATATATATATATATATATATATATATATATATATATATATATATATATATATATATATATATATATATATCGTACCTAGTAGCCAGAATGCACTTCTCAGCCTACTATGCGAGGCCCGATTTGCCTAATAAGCCAAGTTTTACTGAATTAATATATTTTCTCAAATTTTTTTCTTATGAAATGATAAAGCTACCCATTTCATTATGTATGAGGTCAATTTATTTTTATTTCAGCTAAAATTAACGTAGATATATGACCGAACCTAACCAACCCTACCTAACCTAACCTAACTTATCTTTATAGGTTAGGTTAGGTTAGGTAGCCGAAAACGTTAGGTTAGGTTAGGTTAGGTAGGTTAGGTTGTCGAAAAAACATTAATTCATGAAAACTAGGCTTATTAGGCAAATCAGGCCTTGCATAGTAGGCTCAGAAGTGAGTTCTGGCTACTAGGTACGACATATATATATATATATATATATATATATATATATATATATATATATATATATATATATATATATATGTCGTAACCTAGTAGCCAGAACGCACTTCTCAGCCTACTATGCAAGGCCCGATTTGCCTAATAAGCCAAGTTTTCATGAATTAATGTTTTTTCGACTACCTAACCTAACCTAACCTAACCTAACTTTTTCGGCTACCTAACCTAACCTAACCTATAAAGATAGGTTAGGTTAGGTTAGGTATGGTTGGTTAGGTTCGGTCATATACCTACGTTAATTTTAACTCCAATAAAAAAAAAATTGACCTCATACATAATGAAATGGGTAGCTTTATCATTTCATAAGAAAAAAATTAGAGAAAATATGATTATATCCTGGTTGATCAGTCCAGCAACCAGGAGGCCTGGTCGACGACCGGGCCGCGGGGACGCTAAGCCCCGGAAGCACCTCAAGGTAACCTCAAGGTATAGTTGGCTGAGAAGTGCGTTCTGGCTACTAGGTACGACATATATATATATATATATATATATATATATATATATATATATATATATATATATATATATATATATATATATATATATATATATATATATATATATATATATATATATATATATATATATATATATTTGCGAACAAGCCTGAATGGTCCCCAGGCATATATGCAACTGAAAACTCCACACCCCAGAAGTGACTCGAACCCATACTGAGTTTTCAGTTGCATATATGCCTTGGGACCATTCAGGCTTGTTCGCATTTGTTTTGCTCACGTGGCCCCCAAAAATGAGGTGATTTGATAAAATACTATGCCCAAGACTACCAGCAGAGCTGCGCTGTCGGGATGATGGGCAAATAGCCTGGGCTACCATCATCTTTTGTACGGTCGTGATGGTCGAGCAGTTAAGGTCTCCTGTACACCAGTTGCATCGAATGAAGTATACTATATGTTAGACAATTTTTTAATTCATTAATTAAGGAGGGAGTTCCATATATATTGGGTGTTTTTGTGTATGGCGCGTTTGTTTAGATTTAGTCAGACTCGAGAAATATCAGAGAAATATCGAGAAATACTTCTGGTGTGATACCCCTGCGGGTTCCATTATGTCTATCTAAACAAGAGTTTCAAAACATGATTAGAATTTATGAAAAAGGTTTTGTAAGAGTAACTAGCACAAGAGAATGTGTGAAGTGAGTGTGTATATCATGTATACACAAAATGGTCGAGCCCCAAGGCCGGCCCCTTTGTGGGAAATAGCATTATGATCAAATAATAGGGAAGATGGTGCAAGGTAGGGAAAATGGTGAAGGATAAAAAGGTTGTGTAGGGGAGAGAAAGTGGTGTAGGGTAGGGAAGGTAGTAAAGTTACATAGCATACATAAATATTTATCAACAAAATAAAAACTACTAAATTAACGAAGCCTTATTTGCGCATTTTACTGTTTATATATTTCAACTTTGAGTTAAAATACTGAGCCGAAACGCTGCACGTACTAGTTAGTGGCTTTACAAGATTGTAATTACTATGCTATGTATACCTTGAGGTTACCTTGAGGTGCTTCCAGGGCTTAGTGTCCCCGCGGCCCGGTCGTCGACCAGGCCTCCTGGTTGCTGGACTGATCAACCAGACTGTTGGACGCGGCTGCTTGCAGCCTGACGTATGAATCACAGCCTGGTTGATCAGGTATCCTTTGGAGGTGCTTATCCAGTTCTCTCTTCAACACTGTGAGGGGTCGGCCAGTTATGCCCCTTATGTGTAGCGGAAGCGTGTTGAACAGTCTCGGGCCTCTGATGTTGATAGTTCTCTCTTGAACACTGAGGGGTCGGCCAGTTATATCCCTTATGTGTAGCGGAAGCGTGTTGAACAGTCTCGGGCCTCTGATGTTGATAGTTCTCTCTTGAACACTGAGGGGTCGGCCAGTTATGTCCCTTATGTGTAGCGGAAGCGTGTTGAACAGTCTCGGGCCTGTGATGTTGATAGTTCTCTCTTGAACACTGAGGGGTCGGCCAGTTATGCCCCTTATGTGTAGCGGAAGCGTGTTGAACAGTCTCGGGCCTCTGATGTTGATAGTTCTCTCTTGAACACTGAGGGGTCGGCCAGTTATGCCCCTTATGTGTAGCGGAAGCGTGTTGAACAGTCTCGGGCCTCTGATGTTGATAGAGTTCTCTCAGAGTACCTGTCGCACCTCCGCTTTTCAACGGGGGTATTCTGCACATCCTGCCATGTCTTCTGGTCTCATGTGATGTTATTTCTGTGTGCAGGTTTGGGACCAGCCCCTCTAATATTTTCCACGTGTAAATTATTATGTATCTCTCCCGCCTGCGCTCAAGGGAGTACAGATTTAGGCTCTTTAGTCGGTACCAATAGTTTAGATGTTTTACTGAGTGGATTCTAGCAGTAAAGGATCTCTGCACGCTCTCCAGGTCAGCAATTTCTCCAGCTTTGAAAGGGGCTGTCATTGTGCAGCAGTACTCCACTCTAGAGAGCATTGTGTATCCTCACCATACCAATGTACTTTCTTGTATATATACAAATAAATAAATAAATAAGTTAGAGAAGATGGTGAAGGGTCGGGAAGTTGATTGACTCTTTTTTATTATTAACAGGCTTAGGTATACACAACACTATACGGCTGCTGCTCTATTCTATCTGAAGGATTGCAAAATGTAAATAAAAAACTAACTACAAGTGTGCCTTTTTTGTTATTAAGCCCGATACGATAGTTTACCGAGAAAGTATACTTTACCCCTGAGCATAATTCAGGTTTGCATCAGTTTAGTGTCAGTATAAAGTGTAAGTTTGAGCATTATTACAGATGGTTTACCTCGTAGTAATCTGTAATTTTTTCACAAAAGTTATTTGTTACCCAAAATATTTGTATTTTTGTAAGTATTTTAAATAAAAAATACACAAAATTTTATTTTTGCTAATTATGAAGAAAGACTAACTTAGTGCTCTTTTTTGAAACAAAAATAGACACTTTTGAATTCAATTATTCATTTATTGAAGAAAAATAAAATAAGAGACAATATCAATACTAAAGTCATAATCAAACTAAAGTTCGTAATGCCTTAATACAACATATCCAAAATTATTAATGCAGAGTAGGATTCGAATCCCTGGACGAGGAATTCCCTCTCACCCACAGTACCAATTGCTTCCAGGCCTAAGTAGGCCTATGAGAGGCATTGACAGGACTAGTTAGACGTGGGTCTCTGGAGGCCCTCTAGTAATACTGGAGAGGAACGCTGGCATCTCAAGAACACACTCAACTTTCACTTCTTCATAAGACGTTATTTACAAGTTCTCTGTGGCTCTCCTCTTCCGGCCGAACGTGTGACTGAAACCAAGTCCAAAACTGTTGGACCTGTTGGAAATAAAGTTTTGTTGTAACATTTAAGAGAGAAATATTAATTAATGAAGGTTCTTCACGAGACAAACTTTTAGCAGAAAACATCAAATATAATCTTACGTGGAAAGGAAGACTATATGCCACTTACAAACTGTATATCAATACATGACAGGATCTATAGTAATGACACTGACGGATGTTGTACTGGGGCAAATTGCACATGTTTACAGTGAAGGGTGTAGCAGGTGTTTAGACTGAAGGGTGTAACAGGTGTTAACAGCGAAGTGTGACGAGAACAGCTGGAAGAGAGGCCTACCTGCCGCCTCCACCCCGGGAGTGTTGAAAACCGGCGGTGATGGAGGTCTGTTTGTTGGGCTTGAACTCGTAACCCAAATTGGCTCCCACGTTCCTCTCGCTCCCAAGGCTGCATCATGGTATACAGATTACTACATTATCTGTGCTACTGTATAATTTATTGTACTAAATATTTGTTTATATGATCTATATATAGATGAATATTTATCAAAATATAAAAACTGTGCTATATTAACGAATCTTAATTTGTACATTTTCTGTTTATATATTTCAACTTTGAGTTAAAATACTGAGCCAAAGTGTACCAACAGTTTACAATAACAATGATAAACAGTGGAATATGGTTGTCTTACCCGGGAACTTTGGTGCGGTCAACACTGAGGCCGCCTTGGATTGTGTGTTTGTCGAAGGTGTGACCCAAGTTGATGCTAGCGCTGTCTCGCCGAGCCCTGCAACACATGCAACACTTCATATATCACAGTCCCCAGACCCGTGCAATACAGAGAACACACTACATATTATAGTCCCCTGAGCCTTGCAACACATAGAACACTACACATGTTAGTCTTATTACACCTCTCTGCCTTTTTTATAACATTTACACAACTCTTCCTCTAAGGTTTTTATTAGCAATTCGTTACACAAGTATAATATATTATGCTGTGAGGAGAGTCCACTTACCCACCACCCAGGTGTTCAGTGTTGGCGGATCCGGATACTGTGGTCTGTCGCTTTCTTCGTTCATGACTCAAACTATCTTCACCAGAGTTTAGGGACGGTTCTCGTCCCTCGTCATGCACCAAATATGGATCAAGCTCCTCGTCCGACGTGTAAATTGGCGCCAGATTGGTATCTTGTGTTGGTGTGTTGGTGAGCTGCAGCGACGAGCCCTGGAGGGGGCTGCCTGTCACCACTGCTAGGAGCAGGGCGCTCACTGTGAGTGTTGTCTGCATGTTAGACTCTTGCTGAGGACAGTGGTGACGGACTCTCGGCTCCAGGAGGTTATATACAAATTGGACAAATTGTGGGAAATACCTTCAACCAACAACAGCAAAATGATTTGTTGTCATTGTCTGATCGTGTCCTTGACTGTGAGACGCAACAATCTGTCCTGCTTGGAGTTCCCGTCACTATTTTCCCAGTGTTATTGAAACGTTCCCTCTGCTGAAGTAAAAACAAATATTTTTAGATTTTTTGGAAGGCAATCATCGACTTGTATCTATTTATACATTTCATAGTATATTATCATTATACATGTTTGAGTAAAATGTTAAATTAAGGAGTCTGTATGGAAGCATTATAACCTAGACTACGATAATGCTGAGGCAGTATGGTCATCCAGGGACTGACTCCATATATACTGTTATTACCTCACCTAACAGTTCATACCTATACGTGTCTTCGAGGGACAGATGTTTAGCTCTTAATGCCCCGCTCCCCCCCCCCCCTTCCGTACAAGCCGTGGTTTACATGTTGCGTTAATATTCTAACTATTCTGACGTTTGAATTCTTTGCCGAAACTGGCTTTAAAGTTGTGGCTCGTGGTGGCTTCCAAACCTTCTTTCAGAGCATTCCTCTTGTTGGACATGCTCGTACTACTTGCACAGGGTACGAGCATGTCCTTATATTTCCTCGACTCGTGTGAGTAAATATATTCAGGAAGGCATTCAACCTAGTCTTAGACAAGAGTGGGATCAAGCAACACAACAGTCAGACTTATACATGTGCAGTAAGCATGCGCAATGCAACAGAGGTAGCACTACCAGCATTCTTATCCTCGTACATCGCTGCCTGCTAATTAGTAGTGAAGATCCTGACAGAGCACATGAGGGACCCGGAAGGAGCTCACGATGTAGAGGTTACCGAAGGAGCCAGTTAGTGGGATACACACTAGCTGGCACACCCACCCCTCGCCCCGACCACCAGCGCCAAAAGATCACAGACAAGCTCACTAGGAGAGTCCCATAAGGGAAAAGTTTACGTAAATAATGCTCGAAAATGCATTTGCGAGAACAAAGACCGCCTCCTAGTGGAAAATGCACACCCTATGCAGGGAATTTATAATCTGCCGTACTCAACTCAACTCTGGGAAATCTCCTTAATCACGACACTCATCGTATTGGTGTAGCCCTTCGTCTTGCCGTCCCTGTCCTCACCATACACAGGTGTAGCTATGGAAAAGAATTAGGCAGATCAATACAGCCATCACAGTCATATGCTGTAAATCATAGGGGGCAAGACCTTAAGAAATCTATGGCGTCATCAAGAGGAGCCTCGCCACAGTCCGCTGCCCGGCACAAAGATAACAGCACCTATACAGCTCCAGCGGCACTCAGAAGTGTTCGGACGGGGTCGCCATGCTTCCCCTGGAAGGATGGTAAGCTAGTGATGTGGGACTACACACGTGCCTTCACACTGGTCAGTACCTATACCTTCAATACAGAGCAATTGATAGAGCTGGCGAAGCTGCTTTCAGGGTAACCCAGCAAGTCACTTGATACAGAGGTCTTGCACATTGCTACAGTTTTGTTCCGATTGGCTTGGCAACCCTTGGTCGCGGGGTAAAGGTGGACTGAAGTTCCTGAGAACTGGGCGATAAACTAATTAGGATTACAAAAGACCAAAGAGCGACAAGTGCAGAGACCGGGTCGCCCAGGGCAACGAGAGAGCAAGAAGAAGACAAATTGAAAAGCAGAGACGGACTTACAACAACACACAAAGAGAGACAGACAGATAGAGGCAGGTAGAGATAGAGAGAGAGAGAAGGAAAGATAAGAGAAGAGAGAGGGGTATGTTTGAAGAGTGAGAAGGAGAATGGAGGATATTTAAATAGGGAAAAAGAGAGAGAGAGAGAGAGAGAGAGAGAGAGAGAGAGAGAGAGAGAGAGAGAGAGAGAGAGAGAGAGAGAGAGAGAGAGAGAGAGAGAGAGAGAGAGAGAGAGAGAGAGAGAGATGGAAAGGGACGAGAAGTATGAAATATGGAGAGGGGAGAAAGATGGAGAGGGTGGGAGAGAGGGAAGGAGAGGAAGAGTATGGGATGCACAATAACACAGGACCTCACACACGTCACACACACACCAGGAAAGCGTGCGCCGAGAACCCTCACTCGGCAACACGCAAAAAATGCTTCCAGAACCAATACAAAGAGGTCGGTACACTCACCTTGCCCCGTCATCCTCCAGCACTCATCTTAACCTTCACCGTCATCATCCTCCAGCACTCGCCTTCACCGTCATCATCCTCCAGCACTCACCTTCACCGTCATCATCCTCCAGCACTCACCTTCACCTTCATCATCCTCCAGCACTCACCTTCACCTTCACCGTCATCATCCTTCAGCACTCACCTTCACCTTAGGGGCCTCGTAGCCTGGTGGATAGCGTGCAGGACTCGTAATTCTGTGGCGCGGGTTCGATTCCCGCACGAGGCAGAAACAAATGGGCAAAGTTTCTTTCACCCTGAATGCCCCTGTTACCTAGCAGTAAATAGGTACCTGGGTGTTAGTCAGCTGTCACGGGCTGCTTCCTGGGGGTGGAGGCCTGGTCGAGGACCGGGCCGCGGGGACACTAAAGCCCCGAAATCATCTCAAGATAACCTCAAGATAACCTTCACCGTCATCATCCTTCAGCACTCACCTTCACCGTCATTGTAACACTGTAAAAGTGTTTGGGTTAGTTTATTTAAAATATATATAGAGTACACGAGTCACAGACAAGGATCTGAGAGGCGCCAGTTGTCTGCCTGAGATCTCACACCTCTAACCGTTAATGACCCCAAGTGACCTGAGGTCAGATCATGATAATTTCACCTTGCCTCCGCTAAGCGTATAATTGGAGCCGGGTAGCCTTCAAACATGCCGACGTTTAAGGAGTGGCTTGGTAGTGCCGGAGGCTATCTACTTGTGGGCGGAGTTAGCTACTAGGTTCCCCAATAAATACTCGGAGAACTATCGAGCATACAGCATTAAGAGACAGAACAGCAGACGAGAGCAGAGACGACGTCCCTACCAGGGAGGCTGTCGGCCGGCAGGGGCGAGACAGTCTCTGTCAAGCTACAGACCCCCCCCCCCCTCTCTATTCAACTTAGACTCAGTCCTCGGTGAGTGAACATTAAGGTGACTTGGTCGTGTTTACATATGTTGTGTGATGATCAGGGGCAGTCAAGTTGTAGGGTTCTCGAATTCTTGGATGATGACTCACTTTGCATATTAAACTGGAACATTTTAATTGAATTGCTAAATTATGATACTTCATGTGAAATATAATTATGAATTTATTATTTAAATTGTGTTTAACTTTGTTCCCTAGAGATTTTGAGTTGAGGTGAGAAAGCCTCTGTGGTTACTGGTTTCATGATATTAATGAATACATGTTTGGAGTTGATACATGATACAGAGGGAACATACTAATAATGAACTCATGATAACATCTTTTGAGAATTTTGTGATACAGACAAGTTCCATTCCTTGTCTTGTATGTAATGGTTTAGAATGGATGGTGGCAGCATTTCGTCTTCTACTATCTACTCTTCTACTTCTACTATCTACTCTTCTACTTCTACCTATCTACACCTCTCCCTCCACCCCCTCTCTAAACTCTCACTTTCAGCTAATGACCCTCCTCGCTCCTCCCACCTCTCTACCTCTCACCCCAAACCCTCACTAATTACTTCACTATTCATTTCTTTCCTTTCGTTTTCTCGTATACGTTTGTGGCAATGATTCTGTATTCTAGAGTTCTTTCTAGAGTTTCGGGTAACTGATCAAGTGACGGCGCCTTGTAGTCTTAGCACCTAGGTAGTCGAATACCTAGGTTACAAGGTGTTGAACGAGAGAGGTTGCCTTAGGAACTCTGGAGGGTGCTCTAGAATAGTTAGCTAACTGAGGACGGAATAACGGACTAGAGAGAGCTGTTTCCCCCGGCCTCGTTAGTTAACTGGGGGGGTGGAATAATGGACAAGATAGAGCTATCCCCCCCACCCCCCGTTACAATGATGGCAGCGGTGTTGAACAATGTTTAAGGTATTGGTGTTCTTTTGAACATTGTTCAGTCCCACGTGTCTTTTTGCCGCTCAGGCGCTATCAGGGAGATTGACAGGTGTTTAATATTCGCGAGTTAGCGAACTTTTTTTTTTCAGGTTAGGAGATAGTGATTCTCTGGTGTTGTGTTTAGTGATTTTGTGAGTTTTGTGTAGTTCAGGGAATGTTCACCAGAACTTGCGTGTGTAGTGATTTATGTTAGTGATAAGATTTGGCGATTTGGGAACTTAGCGGTGTTGGTAGTGCAGGTCAGCTGAGTGTGACAGGTGACCTCGCATGTCCCAGGAGGACACCCAGCCACCGCTGGTCTCCAGGTCAGTTGGGGAGTGGCAGGTGTAGTTCTTAAGTAGAATTTAGTTAGTGGTTCTGCTCAGATTATTGCGATCGACTGTTTTACTCCATTTGAACGCAATAACCCGAGGTGTACTGGTCTTGTACAGCATGCTAGGGGGAGCCTTAGTATGTCAGTAGACTTCACGTTGGGGACGCTCGACGTTAGATAGTCTGGTCACAGGGGTGGCAACAGTTTGGGGTTGTTGACCGGCGGAGAAGCTAGGGAGACACTCTGGGTCACGTAGGTGGCTGTAGGTTAAGGGTGGGAGTAATGGTTAATTAAGTACTTAAGATTAAGAACGGTACAGTTAAGTTTAGGCTAGTGTTTTGTCTATTAGTGTTGATTTTTTTTTGTGACAAGTTAAAAGGAGTGACGACCTTATTCTCTCTTCTCTAACTTTACTCTGTTACTGTTTTATGTTCCACCAAGTCAATATCATTCAGAGTTAATTGGATTATTTTAAAAATTTAAGTGTAGTTGTTGCCAGAAGGAGAGCGGTATGACTGGACTGTGTAACCCTATACAAACTACAGGGTCACATAACATATCTTGGGAGCACGATATTGTCGCCTTTCTGTTCACCCACAGGTGGGAGCCAGAAG